GCACAGAGTATTTGGTGTTTTGAACTGAAACTTGTCTCTTCCTAGCGGCTCACTAGAAACGACAGGGAGGGGGGAGGAGTGGCTCTAATTACATCACATCTGTTGTAGGGTAAGTCGTTCATCGCTCATTTTTTATCCCCGGGGCTGTAATAGTGCTTTACAGGGGCCAGTTTGGCTGAAAACTCCTGTACCACTATTCATATTTTTTTCATCGAACGTTTTCATAACCCTGCCGTGCATGTTATTCTGACTTGCCTTAAGGGGTGGTTTTAAATACCTCCATTTTGGGCGTATATTTCTCTTGACTCACCCCGACATTTTACGGGGCTTTGGGAGAAAATTTTAAGGAGAAGGCCCTATCTCTGCCGTTTTGCACAATATGAATCAACAATTATTCTTATATTGCTGTCAATAAGTAACGTTTCACCTTCCGATAATAATTCCTATCTCGAGAGAGTTCTTGATCAAAAACCGACGGATAGAGCAAATTCCTTAAAATTTAAAAGAGAAAATTACTCAGCACATTTTTTTTTTAAGTAATTCAGATAAAAATTCAAGGACCCCCCAGCTAATGATTTTCTATCGAAGTATACACCTTTATTAGCAGTTGAAAAGTGGTCGTTGTCACTAACACAACCTTCAGGGTTCTCGGCCTACGAGGCCAGAAAACAGGCTGTGTACCTTGGGGCAGTATGTCACATGAACGTCTGGGGTAGTCTAAAAGCTGTATGTATCAAAACGAACCGTCATATTTGCATATATCAATGATAATGCTATACCCCAACAGTCTCACTGAAGCACAATTTTTGTATACATTCCAAATTCACTAAATATATCCAAAATAAGTACCAATTTGGTGTTTTCAATTAAAATTAAAGAAAAATCCATTTAAAACCACAGTTTTTCGTGTAAAAATTGTTAATCTATTAGCAGCTGTTATAGTAAGCATTAAGAAGCTGTTTTCTCCCTTACTAGGTGTCCCCAGAACTCAATGAGGATGGCAACTGTAACTTTCTGCTGCCAGGATCGCTAGGAGCACTGGTCCCATAGCGCGCCGCCAGCCCGGTGGAGCGTGTGTGAGCATAAACTAAAATTGCATTCTTGGGTACTTAACTCAAACAAAGTACATCGACCATTACATCAAAATAAAGGTGGAAGTGTGAGGATTACATCGGTATAGTTCCACCTTTATTTTGATGTAATGGTCGATGTACTTTGTTTGAGTTAAGTACCCAAGAATGCAATTTTAGTTTATGCTCACACACGTTCCGCCCGGCCGGCGGCGTGCTAGGGAACCAGTGCTCCTAGCGATCCTGGCGGCAGAAAGTTTCAGCCGCCATCCTCATTCTTCCCTTTGCTACACACTGCCCCACTGTTGTTACAGAATGCCCCCCCCCCCCTCCCCCCGGGCCCGGGGGGTGGGGCAGCGTGTAACAAATGCAAACCTTTGTTCAACAAGCTTTGGTTCACACATGGATGCGCCTAGCAATACATCCGAATAACTTTTAGGCTTGGTAAAGATTTAATATAACCTTTTCCGACCGATTTACCATTTTTTTACATGACTTGACTTTTACAGACAAATTCCAAAATCTGTTAGACACTGCCCCATCCTCCCTTACTTGTAAGAAAGAGAATATTTTTGGAAAAGTCTGGAAACACGCAGCGATTGTTGTCTTCGACATGGACCCAAACGAATTCTGACATTTATAAATGATAACGCCTCATGTGCCTTAAAAACAGCGTTTAAAAACATATTTCAGAGAACTGAAAAAATCGGCTGTTGGTATGGAGGGCATGGAGTAATTTTTTTAACTAAAAAGTTGTATAGATTGAATTTGTCAAACTCTGAAAGAAGCCATGAACTCAAGCATACAGTTTCGTTGTTTAACCTGGGAACCTAACAGCATCGTAGTTCAAACTGCAAGTTTTGCATTTGAAACTGTCAGCCTGTTCATTCAGTTCGCAGACGTAAGAGAAAATAAAGGGAAGGAAGTGGGGGGGGGGGGGGGGTTATAAGAGGTTCACAAAGGTTCTCGCAACGCACTTAGCGACACATCAATGTAAATGTAAAATCAAATGAACAATGTGAATTGTTTAAGGGTCGAATTTACGGTGTTATATATAGCTATATATAGTTACCAAAGTTACCTCCAGAAGATTCAGCCACAAACATGGCTTCAAGAAGGTCAGCTTGTGTTTTCTGACAGTGTCCTCTATTCCATCTCAAATCTTCGACCATTTTCTGAAAGAACAAATTGCCAAAGTGCACAACACGTTAAAAAAAAACAACAAAAAAACCAAAAAACAATCAGGCCCGCTCTTCCGCCAAACGAAGTTGCCAACTTTCATTTCGCTCCGTAGGCAACTCCGTTCGGCAGGGGCCGGGCCTGCACTGTAAAAAAATTCGAGAGTAATTTTAAGTACCCTCGAAGAAGACACAACGCTCCTTTACCTCACCACGGTAAATAAATAAATTTACATACTCATGGGGGAGTAAATTTCACCCACCAATGGGTGGGTGAAATTCCACCAATGTGTGGGTGAAATTCCACCAATGGGTGGGTGAAATTCTCTACCCATGAGTGGTGCTATTTTGTTCTCGTGGGTATGGATATAGCTTTTACCTACCCACGAGGATAAAGTGATACTGCGCACCCTTCAGATGGAAAACAATCCTATATGCGCTAAACAACGCCCACCCAGGAGGGTAAAAATATTCCTTAAGTCGGGAAGCTGCCGCGTGTTCTCCCCCTTTCCCTTCCCCGGCTCAAACATTCAACCCAACAACACGCTAGGGGCGGTCATGAAGGCTAACAACTGCTCACGGCTGACGCATATGTCTAGGCAGGAAGCCAGGATCGATATGAGGCCTTGCTTGTCACCGTATTGCACTTCCAGCGGAACCAGTGAATAGCCGAGTCATATCATCGATCGCCCGAGGGGTGGGCGACTTGGATTTTTCGTGTACACAGGAGTACGGAGTACACGGAGTACAATCGGAGAACACTGAGTATTGCCGGTCGGAGCGCGCAGAGTACACCTGGAGTACACCCGGAGTACACCGGAGTACAGTCGAAGTACGCGGAGAACTTGCAACAAAAACAGCCGGAGTACACAGAGTAGTCGGAGTACACCTGGAGTACATTTTGGCCTGTACACAGGAGCCGCCCAGACGTCCACCCCTCGATCCCCCCCC